ACGGTACGGCAAACCCTGGGTAAAACCTTAAGATTTAATATGATAATAAAGCAATAGTCCCTTTGTCTGGATCTACAAATGCTACAAAATTTAACTTCATCACCAACATGCTAGGCTTTATCAACCATTTTGCCCTACATGTGAGGGGGTATTAATGATATAAATGAAAAAGGCTTGTCTCATCTATCTTCTTAAGCTTTTGGATGGATTGGCAAGGGTTAAAGTTTTAATAAGCAACAAAAACATTTACAAGAGCAACTTGAAGGATTCTGCTGATTCACAGTCATACATGCCATTTAAATTATATTTATTATGGTCCAAGTCTGTGCGATATAACATAAGCCACAGTCAAGGACTCCAAATATCATGCTCCTTGGTTTCAACTTGTATCCACACTAAGCAAACATTGTGCCTAACCAGTAGACAGAAGACAACTTTAATAATTTAGATCCACTAAACTTAATTAACCATTATCAGGTGCTCCCTTGCCAGTTCCATACTAGTCAGTTAAACAATTCTGCTCTTGTTGAAGACTCGGCAACTTGTTTTATGTATACTACAAAAAAACCATTCTTCTCCATATGCCACTTTAATCTTCTCATCCTATGATCTTTCAAGTTTCAATCACTACTATAATATGTTGCATGGTGAATTTAAAAATGTAAAGCATGCAAATGGTGACATTCTCCTAGGAGGTTAGGAACCCTGGGGAAATAAGATGGCTTTGAAGATAGTTTGAACCAAAGAGTAGCCATGGAAAATCCACATACATAATTTAGTCATTATGCAATCTCATATATTTTCCCCTCTAAAAAAATAAGTCCTAATAACATTTCATGAAACTTCATAATTTGCAGATAAAACAACTAACCCCCTATGCAATTGATGAATATCATTATGAAGGATAATCAATGAATGCTGTCAACAAATAGATAACTGCCATAATCTGCTTCATGCAACATATGTTATCCAGCTCCATCTCTTATATGTGTGCTAGCCTCTCTGAGTCCTTCATTACATACTTAAACTAAAGAAACCACAAGAGTAATCTGGCATAGTGTCATGATGGAAAGTCCTCAATAGAACCTTGAAAGAAAATACATGTTTCTTGGCAAATATTGACATATTATTGTTATTAGTAGCAAAAAATGGAAATCGTTCAACATACATAATACTTACCAAACAACTCTAGATATTATCATATTTTATATTGTGAAGTATTTTCCAACTCAGTCAATAGTCTGGAGATGTTCAACAATGTAATGCAGAAATATTAAAGGTTAACATCATTGTGAAAATCAAATTCCGGCATTCAAAAAATATTTTCTTGTTAGTGCAAGCACATGAATTGTAGGTATGTTGCAATAAGGCATCCCTACAAGAATGTTTATGAAGACATTTATTCATTAATATCTCACAGATGCCACATCTTTTCATGGAAAAAAGTTTTACCCAAACAACCTTGTCTACTTAAACTCACAAAATGGTATTTGGAGTATCAAGAATTTACCTTGGATGTCCTCAGCTCAATTTACTGCCACTCTAAGAGAATCATCTGATAGTATCAACCTTGACAAAGCACCGGTGCTTAGCTTGTACTACATGATTCAGAAGGCACTGAGGCTGTGTACAAGTTTAAGTTTGATGCTCTTAGTGCTATGTTAAAGAACAAATCAATGTTTAGATCATTCAGATAAAGCAAATTTGTGCCACCTAGAGCTACCTGCTAGCCGGCCCAGAAACCTAATGATAATGCCACACGAGTTAAAAAATATGATAAGGATCAAACAGGCTATGGCCTGAATGTTCCTCTGAGTGAAATTTCATTGGACAAACTCAGACCTAGGCGGAAGCAAAACGAGAAAATGATTTCAAAATAATTTACCCTACTGGTCATCTCTCATTTGCATTCAAATTATTCTAACAAAGGAAATGGTTTCTGACCACTCAGTACCACAATAGGAGGATGTCACAGAGAAAAGGAAGTGAAGAATTAGTATGGTGGCAGAAATGATGTGATAGAATCCGATTGTTTCATCACTCACAGCTGGCATGCTGATGATTGTTTGAGGTGATGGCGATGAGATTTGAAATAGGTAAACAAATGATCAAGTTCCCCAAATCTCTCGTGTAAAGGGAGAAAGAATATGATCAAAGAGCTATTTTATCTAGTTTTTGTTCAGGAATCCATGTATCATTCCTCCAAAATAACTAAAAATGGAAATAGGTTATTGCTTAATATTGAGTGCAATAAGCAAATTTCAGTTGCAAATGTTTGCCTACGAACAGAGAGATGAAGATCTCTTTATTAAGATAAAACAAAACAGAACAATATCATACTGAACTATATATATCCAGATTCTTTTGCACAATCAACATAAACACATGGCACCAAGCATTTACTATCATATCATTGATATTGATTAATGAACTCTCAGAAAAGAAAGAAGGCCAAAGAAATAAAAATACTTTAGTTAGATAATTATTCATTTCATTAATCCTACAAGAAACAAGAGAAGAAAAGAGGAATCTTGATCAAGTTGAAGTACTAAGGTTTCACATTTGCAGTATGGTCCTTAGCATAATCCATGGTATGTTTCACAAAGTATTAAAAATTCTTTAGGCAGATATACATGGATACAAAAAGGAGCCATAAGCAATGCACCCCAATATTTTTGCTGTTTCTGACACAGAGCCTTCTACAGCAAATATTAGGTCTAACAAAGCCTGCATTCCCTGTCAAAGGAATAGAATTATAAAAAAACAAGGATCCCAAAACTTAAATCATGTCACATATATCCTCATGGGTAACAGATAACATTTGCAAGAAGTGGCTCACATGTACCAGAGCAAATTTAGGATTGTTGGGACCAATCTGAGGACCAACATCTTTACCCCTAATTGTTGACTTGGCAGGTAGCATCTGAAGAAGCTCTGAAGGAGTTGTGTATCCATCCAGGTCTATCACCGTCCTGCCTAGAATGTGTATCTCATAAATCAGATGTGTGCAGTACCTAAAAAAGAAGGGAACATGTCCAAATGAAACAAGATCACTTCAATGGGAAACAATCAAACTGCCGTGAAGCATAATAATTGCAGCATGCAATGTACAAAAAAAAAAAAAATCAAGGGTGAGATGATGGTGAATGATTACACAGAGATACCATCCATGTTCATTCTAAAGAAGGCAGAGAATTGATAGAAACTTCAACAAAAACAACTTAAGTTGCAGTTTAAACAAAAAACCAAAGCACCGGCAGCCAAAGCAGTTAGTGAATCAAAGAATAGAAGGCCTAATGTTCTTAGTCACATACCTATATCCATCAACAATTTTGGGGGAAAAACTATTCTATCAAATGCACAGAAAGCAATAACTTCTGCATTATTAATGTGACTAATGAAATCAAGGAATCTCATGAAGATATGAAATGTAGCCTAGAATGCTACGTATATGAATAATGAATAACAGGTGACCAGTGTTTTGCTACATGAATCTGGGATAACTCGTGCGACAGCTAGTCTTGAGAATAGTATTGTGTCTTAATAAGATGAAAACAGTCTATTTTTAATAATGATGAGAAGTTTCCAGCTACGGGCTGGTATGCTCCTTGAGCAGCCAACTCCATAATTACAGATACACACACAAACTATTAAACCCCAAAAGGCAGACGAATCCATTCATTTGTAGATCGATGCAACATCAATTTCGGCATAAACGAGTTTAACGGAACAGATTCGAAACGTAACCTTCGAGAGCCAACAAAGTCCGCAATCGGGTCAGAGTCATCGCCCAATTCTTGTGCTGCGATCGCTCCTCGACAGCCTGCAAGATTCAAACTTTTACATCCCACAACGTTGTGTCTCAGAGAGAGGAATCGAAACAAAAGGTGAGAGCTTTGGAATGGGAGGGCGGGACCTGGGCGACGATGCCGGTGGGACGGAGGCCTTGAAGGTATCCATGTCGCACTGCGCCATGAGCTGCTCGTCGGAGAGATGGATGTAGTTAGAAGCGGCGGCGTTGGTGTAGGAGAAGGCTAAGCTTGTGGCGCGGGGGTTAAGGGTCCGCGGGAGTTGGACGAAAGGAAGACGAGAGGAAGTCTCGAGGGAAGTGAAGGAAGCCCATCTCAACAGCGCTCGAGCCATCGACTGCAATCATAGACGCAACGGAAGGGCAGATACCTAAAAGACCGCAGCAGAAGTCCGCAGCAGTGGCCTCGAAAATTCAACACTAATGTGCATCGAATTTGCAGATTTGCCCCCCTCGGTTTTAATATTACATCTGGTAAGACGGAGTCCTTAGAAATCTCTTAATTATAGTATTGCAAACACACCTCAGTATGAGAATCTATAATTAAAAATGTTTCTATATATATATATATATATTGGTGGGCTGTCAACCCTGACAAGAAAAACACATAAGATCCTTGGAAAAGAGAGAGGACCAAGCATTCCATGACTAGGCAGCAAAAAAAGGATGAACAATTCGGATTCAGATGGAGTTGAATTGACCATGATGATTTCATAGTTCCAAACGACTCAATACTAAAAGTGTAGCTGAAATAATGGTGCCTTCCCTACCTCCCAAAGCACTTGGAGATGAGAAAATTTTCAGATAACTCTGCTATAGTAGAAAGAATGAATAGCTCACGGCAAAGACTAATTCGAGTAGACTCCATAGAGACTGATGAAACTATGTACTTGTAAAATGTGACACAACGAGCATAAAAGAAAAAGGGAAAACAAAATGCATCAGCAGATCATTTTAAGCTATCATCTGAAACAACCAGATAATTTTAGGTCCTCGCTCTCTTTTGACGGCAGCATCTTGGGCACCTATACTCCTCGAGTTGTTCATACTGTTCAGGTGTAGTCCTCACACACCGTGAATGATACCATGTCACACACATGTTGCATAATATCCAGTATTCACTAAAAGCAAACCTGTTTCCACATGCACCACAGATGATACTGCTAGTGTCGTCTCCCATTGTGTATAGTTCAACATCATCCTCATCGTTCTCTTCCTTTTCTATCAAAGACAAGGGCAACCCCAGATTTTGTCGTCCTGAACCCTGAGAAACGTAAAGCAGGAAAGAGTAAAATTGCAAGATATACGAGGAAGAAGGATACATGGGATGTTCTAGCTAATGGTAATTGTACTCACACTTTTGGAGTTCGATTCACCCTCATTGCTCTTGCTAAGGGTTATGGGCATCTTCACAGTTCCAAATATAACCTCATATATAGTAGGATTACTATTTATCATATTGAAAAGCCGTGACCTGTATCAGTTGCACCACAAACTCATAATGCATGAATTAACACACATTCAATGGTATGCACTACAATGCAGTACAGATAGTTTATGATTTATGAGGTATACGATGTCTTGTCACTAAAGTCACTAGATTTACATATGATTTTTATTGACTCAGAAAAAACCTATGATAAAATTTCTAAAAATTTATTATGATGAGTTTTAAAAACAAAAGATGTATCCATTAATTATATTGATGTTATTAAAGATACGTATGATAATGCAACAACTGATAAAACTATAGAGAATATGTTTAGTGAATTTTCTATTAGCATAGGATTACATCAAGAATGCACATTAAATCCCTACCATTTCACACTGATAATAGATAAACTTATTAATCACTTATATGATAGATCTCCCTGATGTATATTATTTGTTGATGATATTATCTTACTTAATGAGAGTCTAAGTGAAATTAATTATAAACTTGAGTTATAGTAACAATCCTTAGAAACTAAAGTTTTTAGATTAAGTATAACTAAACCTAGATATATAAAATATAATTTTAATGATTCTAGAAATAGATAAGAGAATATAATTAAATTGGATGGACAAAAAATTATTTTAAGTAAAAACCTTAAGCATTTTGGATCAATTATTCAATAAGATGAAGAGATCGATGAAGATATTATTCATAGAGTAAAGACATGATGATTAAAATGACGAAGGATATTAGGAGTCTTAGGTGATCATCGAATACCTTTGAGATTAAACAGATAATTTTATAAGAGAATTATGAGACCAATAATGCTATATGAATATGAGCGTTGGGCAATTAAGTAACAACATATACAAAAAATTTATATTGTCAAGATGAGAATGTTGAGACGGATATGTAGAGTTACTAATAAAGATAAAAAAAATACTTTTATTCGTGAACAACTAAGTAACATTTCGATAGAAGATATGATGAAAAAAAATCATTTAAGAAGATATAAGCATGTGCCTAGAAAATCTTTGGATGCGATAGTTAAGAAAGGTGAAATGATCAATGTTAGTGGTACGATGAGAGGTAGAGGAAGACATAAAAAGGCTTTAATAGAAACTATAGATAAAGATTTAAGTACTCTGAACTTAATTAAATATAAGACTTTTTACATATCTCAATGATGACAAAAAATCCATATAATCGGTCCTAAATAGTTAAGCCTTATAATTTTGTTGTTGTATGATGTCTCATCACTAGTTAATGAAATCCATTAAGAATCATCACTAGTTAATGAATTACAATAGCCCTGGAAACTTCAATCTATATTATGTATTTTTAGTTTTAGCATAAAACAAGGAAATGGGTACAACCACTCCACACAAATACATACATACATACATACATACATACATATATATACATATATATATATATATATATACATATATATATATATATATATATATATATTTGTGTGTGTGTGTGTGTGTGTTCTGACTACAGGTTAGAATATCAACAATAAGTTAAGCATTATATATTAATACAAAGAATTTCAGATATAATAAATTATCTGTAAATAAATAGATATTTGATAATAAATAATAAAAGCATGGCTGAAGTCTTTTGACACACTTAACGACATGTCAAAACAAGACTTTCATCTTAGTCAGGTCCAAGGTTCCCACCACAACAAAAATGACAATCTAATTCATTATTCATTCGATAGAGTTGAAAATTGAAATGTCAATATGCAACTCTATATGGTTGG